ATGGAATTTGTCCACTTTTCAGAACTAGATTTTGTTTTATATGGGGTAAAGAGAGAAGGGTGTGTCTGCAAGTCACCTAGGAGTCTTCAGTCAAATCATAGATAACTATTTTAATAAAAACTTATTAAATAATCAATATATGTAGATATTAGTACTTGTAAATATCAATTTTATGCAGAGTGATTATTGATAAAAGGTAAGTAATGACAAACATGTTTGTTTTTTTTCTTATATTGTGCCGTGCGCTGTCCTAATTTTTCTTATCCACGTAATTTAAACTCCAGTCACCCAATAACTGCAATAGATTTACAGCCCATGCTAATTTATATAAACTGTGCTAAACAAAGATTTTAGTTTGCAATATTTTATACTTTTTAAACAAGTAACTTTTAGAATCAGAGCTGTGTCAGTAGTACTATTCTTCTCCACCAGAAGGCACTCAGATGGCAGCTTTTTATTTCTATTTAAAGAATGTTTTTTAATATCAGTTTTCTGACAAATAACCACCTTATCTAAAAGCTAATAAAAGAAACATTAAATTTAAGAATAGGAATTAATGAAGAAAAAAAATTACAATTACATTAAAGGGATTTCCAGTCATGTGATGTGGTTTGACATTTGTGCTGTCAACTTACATTAAAGCTATAGAAAATAATGAATGTTGGTTACAGAAACATAAAAAAATGAATCAACCTTTGATACAACAAAAAAAAAAGATAAAACGTTTTTTGTTTTTTTATCTGTTCAGTACAGTAAAGTGAGTTGACATTAGTTCTGTGTCCGTTGGCCCCTATACCAGAAACCAATTAAATTACCACAAATTAATGTCTCAACTGATCTGTTGCAAAAACATAAACTAGATGCAGAGGACATCTGGAGGGAGGAAAGTAAAGACATGTTTGTCTTTCAATCTTTTTTTAAACACTTAGGTTCCTTCCAAATTGTCTTGTTTCACATTCTGTGCGGTCAACAGAACACTATCCTGGCTGTGCTAAATCCAGGCAGTTGCATATATTTAACATCATTTATAACAGCATAACTTATATTATCTAACCACTGATACCAAAAGCCCGATTTGTTTGCTTGACCCCAGTAACTCACGTTCAAGTTCCAGAGAATTATTCTAAAATTGTCCACCCTTAATTGGAAAAGCTGCACAGAAAGACTGGAAATGTGGATCCTACTTCAGACTCCATGCTGCCCCCATCCTGTCAGCCAGGAAAGGCTCTACCTGTAGGCATACTACCAGATAATCTATGGATTACTTATAGATATCAAAAATGTAAAAACACAAAGCAAATGACCTGCCTTTATACATTCTAATGAGGCTGAAATGATATACAGATGTGATTAGATTATGAACATCTAAATGGAATCATTGTTCTTTATAAAGATGTGATTATGTAAAAGCATGCAATAAAATGATACAGCTGCACAGATTTTTTTTTATGCTTATCTTGTCCCGACATTAATTGATTTGATTTAAAATACCAGTCTTAAATTGCAGTACCATATTTACTGCAATTTACTACCATAAATTGCAGTCTTATATTACGAATAAAAAAAAATCAATTTTTTATCTTTCTGTGCCAGCCTCTTTTTTTTTTCACTTGCAGGCAAATGTTATTTTCTGTATTCAGAATTTATACATCTGATTTGAACTAAAGTGCCAGCTGTGTTCTCTTCGTATTGTCACATTTTACTAAAAATAGCCCGTGTTAACGTCACGCCCAGTTACATTGGCCGTGTAAACTAGCTGAAATATCAGTATAACTGAAACAATCATTGAACAGTGTAGAATATGTAACTGTTGTTCTCTGCCTAATTGTATCGGTGTAAGGCTAGTATTTTATAGTTTAAAGCCAAAAATACACGCACATGCGTAATGGTTAGTGACAAGTCAGGAGGGCGGGACATTGGCTTCAAGGAACCAATCGCATCAATGCAATGTTTTGTTACACTCCTGCTCATCCAATAAGAGCTTTCTCTGTGTCATTCGTCATGGACATTTTTGAGTATCAGCGAATCAGAAACGAGAAGAGGCGGGACCAGATGGATGGATGGGTGACTGGAGTTTCCCTTGCGGTCTGAAGATTAATGGAAGAGGTCTGTTGATCCGGAGAATCGACTATCAGGTGGTCGGTCGCAGGATTTTGTTGTTGCACTTCACGGCTTGTCAAGGGACGAATGGAAACATATCAGTGAAAATAACCGACTGTTGGAAAAAAACGGGTTAACCAGAAACAAATTCTGTCAATCCAAGGCCCGAGACAGCACCTGGTTCGTTAAGGCCAGGATCTGACTGCAAGGAACGCTAAATGCTAATGTCAGCTTGCTAGTAAAAAAAAAAACACATAAAAACACATTTCGACGATTTGCATCGGAACCGGATATTGGAGAAGACCGAACCGCCAGTGGAATAAAGGAGAAGCAGATTGACAACTGCAGGATTCGTCGGCGCTCTGTTGGAATTCTTTGAGCTAACGTCAGTAAGCTGATATCTGCTTGCTATCTTCGCGAGCTAACGCGCGAGCTTAGCTAACCAGCAGTCAGTTTTAGCTCCAGGATTGGCGACGGTCTTCTGACTGGAGTTTTTTTTTTTTTTCCGTACTCACAACTGAACGAAGAAACGCGAAAAGAATAATTTTCCACTGCATTCGTTTTTAATAATGCTAACCACCAGCTAGTATAGCTAGCTGACAGCTTCGTCGAGTTCAACGACTTCCTTAGTGGATTACTAGAACCAAGCGACTTTTCAGAGAGAGTCAATCGGACCGAGAGGCACCACTATCAGGCTGCAATCATGGGCAACACGCCCACCGCGAAGAAAGGCAATGAAATGGAAAGTGGTGAGTACACCCAGTTTGACAGCAGCAAAATAATATAATTGCATAATGTAGTAGTGGCTATTTATAACTTGATATGATTTGTTTTCATTGAGTTGGCCATGGTTAAGTTTCTGATCATGGTTACTACATGAAATAAAAACAATATTGTTTCTGATTATACAAAAAACATGGTAAATAAAATCCAAGCATATACAAACAGCATTTTATGCATCAAATAAGTGTAAATAGTTTTGGGTTTAACCATTTACTGCCATGCTCTCTCGACATGACAGCAGTTTATGGGCTAATAATTGATAAATAATGCAGGATTTTAGATTATCTCATTCACTCACACGCAAAGTCAGGCCAAATATTTGGATCACAGTCATCAGCAGTAGCTGCTATTCAGTCTCATCCTGTGGGAAAGCTCGTGATCTTAAGCCCCAGGTTATGTTCAGAGGTACCAGTGGTTACAACAGCAGCAAGATCTGTGGAAAAGTCATAGGTTTTCTTGAGGTTTATGGTTTGCAGATCTTTTTTCCAAGTCACCACTTTGCAACAAGAATACATATTCATCAGAATTCAGATGTAGAAAGTTTCACAAAGTTCTGTCATTAAGGTGAAGTTATTTAATTAGCATTTAGTGAGTTGCAAATTGAATATTGAGTTGTTTGTTAATAGTTCAAAGAAATAAGAGATACCAGGGCTGAGTCATATGATGCATGATGATGATCTACTCCAGGCAGAAACTTAGGAGTTGAAGAGTCTCTTGAACACCATGTGATGAGGGCAGTTTGAAACAAGGGTGCCTGTATGTGTCGCCTGTGTTTTCTGGGTTTATATTCTGCCCTGATCTGGAGCAATTGTTTTATGCTTTTGTTCTCTGTGACTTGAACAAAGTTTTATCATCATGCAGTGTTATTACAAGTTATCTAAAGGTTGTTTTTAAGAACTGATCTAAACTTCTTTTTTTTTTTTTATCTCATCAGGCTTACAGAATTACAGAAGGGTAACTTTTTATCTGCTTCTTTATAACAGCACTAATAGTCTCTGAGTGTGCAAAATCTGAACGTGGAGCTGTGAAATAATCATCAGCTACTTGTTACTGCTAGAGTGTGGGTGTGAGCCCCAGTCTCTGTGACTTCAGACCCTTTGGATATCATAGTTTGCAAGTTGTTTTGTATTTATGATTGAATGATTTAGAATAGAACACAGTTTCTGTTGTTTTTTCTTTTTTTTTGTAGGGACAAAATGAATTATTGGAAGGACAGAGGAGGTGGTCCTTTCAAGTTTGACTATATCTCATGCTTCGCATTCTTATCAGCCTGATTGCTGTTGGTCCACCCTGATCTCCAGAGACAGGTGCAGACCAGGGATTTTAGAGCCACACACCCAGAGGTGTCATTTTTTCCACAGAGCAGCCAGCGATTAGACACAACATGGCAGGACATTTTGGTTTCTATGGGAAAAGGAAAGTTTTTGTGGAGGATTTTTTCAGGTGCGTGTTCTCTGACACCGACGGACGGAAAAACAAAAGTATAGTGAGGAACTGCGCTTGTATAGAGGGCTAATTTCTGGCCCACAGGAAGAAGCAGGGCGGACAGACTGAGCTGCGGCAGGAAGTGAAGGAGTAAGGAAGGTCCAGCCCAGGCTTTGCACAGTCGGCCATCTCCTCTCCGGTTCTATAGACTATACACAGCCAGTCAGGCTTATTGAAAGTTTGTAACCTTTACATGTTTTTTTTTTTTTTTGTTTAATCTTGTGGGTTTGTAGTTTAGTAAAAGATCTGTAAATACTGCTGGGACGTAACGCTACAAAGGCTGTCGGTTTGCCTTCTGTGGCCTTTTAGGATGTCTGTTATTCACAAGCTGGCAGGAAGGTTGTTTCACCGAGCTGGACCGTGTCTGGGGGACATGAACAGTGGAGAAGGGACACATCACAGACCACAGGAGGAGCTAGAGGCCTGCAGCTCAAGTGAGTTGTCATGTTGGAGCTGGACAAAACACGGGGTTATGGGTGGAGCTGTTTTTATGCCATGTCCCACTTATTTAGCCCGTCACAACAGAAAAGCATTTGTTTAAAACATAAATTCAGTGTTTTTTTGCCAATAAGATTTGCTGCTAAATCCATTCAGTTGAGTGTTTAGTGGTTTTTAGTAGCTTTCGATGACCTTTCCCTCTGGGAAAACCACATTTTTTCTCAGTGTGTTATTTATGACCAGCTTACAAAAACTTCAGGAACATTAGGGCAAGTTTAAATATGTTATACCTAATTGAAACAGTATTGTTTCAAGACGTACATGGAGTCATGTTTTAAGAGATTTATCGCGCAGTAAGGTGGTACTCTGTCAAAGTACAACTTTCTTTCTATAAATATCTGCATTGTTCACGTCCTTCCTCTTCTCTGCACACAGCTGGTTTGTGTAGCAGCCATGCCAGTCTTTGGATCACTCTCATCACTTCCTCTCTCTGCATAAAGGGGCTTTGTTATTAGCCTATGCTGATTAGCAGCAGACCACGCTGTTGATGTGCCAGTCAGCTAATTTGGGAACCTGAAGAACAGAAATGTCAACTTTGGAAGCAGACCCAAAGTTAACACATTTAAATCCATCTGTTTTTATTTATGTTCTCTGTAGTAGCTGGTAGAAATGTGTTCAGAAAATCTAATGTGGTCTGCATCAGATTCAGTTGACTGGTTTGGCAAACCTGCATTTTCTTCACTAACCAGTGGGTTTATAAAGCTTATAGTTAATTCTGATTCTTACTGTTCAAGATCTAGATGTTGGCATAAGAGATGGTACAGTGCTGGCAGGTCATTGATTTTAAACATGTTCCTATTATAACATTTAGTATGCTGTTAGATTTGGAGTTGCGTTTGACCGATAGTTAGACAAAGTCAGTATGAGACTATTTTTGATTCTTGCAAATGTGGTTTATTTAAAGAAATGTTAACATGAAATGGTTATTGTGTTTATAATGATGCTCCATTTAACAGTTTGTTATTGGTTTTGATTTAGAATAAACATCCTTAAGTTTATCGGGTAGTGTTTAATTTTTGCTGTTGAGAAAACCATTTTTTGATGTTTTGCTAAAGTCTGACAATATGAGAAACCGTGTGATGCAGATATTATTAATCAGACTTCGCTGCAATTATTATTAGACTATATTAGGTGATTTCTAAGTGGGGCTTGTTGCTTGGTTTGAGGCTATAGTTGTCTGGTGATAGAAAGACATCTCTTAAAGCTTGCCAATTGTAGTTTAAGAATGGTTTAACCATAACAGCACATCATATCCTGTCTGGAAATATGTCCAAACAGCCTTTTACTGAATGAGGGAAATTATATTATAATCACTTTTTTTTAACAGCTGCCTAAACATGACTGTTTTCTACTCAACTACAGATTGAGAAAATGTTAGTTATAAAACCCCAGACTTTAAAAAAAAAAACATCTGATGTTAATATTAAACTTTTGTTCTCTGTGGATAAATTATCATTAACAGGTTGAGGGATTTTTGAATACAAAGGGCAATCTTGAGTGTAGACTTCGGGGAAAACATTTTCAATGAGCGGGCATGTTTACAAACTTTTTGCTTGGTGTCATTTAATCAGGATTTCTTTAACTAATGTTGCTTGTTACCAAAAAGAGAATCATGCATGTTTTACTCAGAAGCTAAAAAGCAAAGTCAGCAAATGGTTAGAATTAGGGCTGAAACAATTTATTGGATTAATCGATTGTTGTAATAATCGTCAACTAATTTAGTAATTGATTAATCGTTAACCGGAGTGTAGAGACTCTAAAAGGTGTCTTTAGCTGACAGAGCAACCCATCTTGGACAGCAGTTATACCAAAATTGTAAAAAAAAAAAAAAAAATGTAAACATTTTGCATTTATGATAAAAATCTTTTTTGTCTGTCAATATGCTCTTCCAGAACTCTTAAAGTGGAAAAGTTTTAGCTTCACCTGGTTTAATTTCACGAATGGTCATCTGTAAGGAAACTTTTGCTATCGCAAAAATAGTTGACAGATTAATAATTTTTGCTAAATAATTGTTAGTTGCAGCCATATTTGGAACAATATCCAAGTAGTTTATTATCCATTTTTAATTTCTTTGTAATCTTTTTTGGGTAATACTAATGCAAAAAAATAAGGAAAATGGCATTAATCTAGCATATATAGTTATATAAATTTTATTTTCTGTTCCAGGGCATAAGAGCTGGTTCATTTTGTGGACAGATGTGTGAGCTGTGGCCCATATTAACAGATGTGGTAGCAGTTGGGCATTTCTCTACAGACTCTCACTTTTCAGTTTTTCATTATCGTAATAAGATATGGGTTTAATTCTTTCAGCAGGTGTTTTGCATTGGCTGGTTCCATTTCCTATTTAGCTATTTTTTTCCGATTTAGCTTACATTTCACTCACAAAAGGCCATGAAACAAATCTCCACTTTTCCTACTCGACTTCCTTCTGATCCCTTACCAATCACACAGCTATTGTGGAACTATGGATGAAACAATCGGATTAATCGATTATTGAAATAATCGTCAACTAATTTAGTCATTGCTTAATTGTTTACTGGAATATAGACTCTAACACATGCCTTTAGCTGGCAGAGCCACTCATTTAGACCAGTACTTATACCAAGATTTTACAGAAATTAAGCATCTTTGATAATAAAAAGTTTTTTCGTCTGTCGATATGCTTCATCCAGAATACCACAAGTGGAAAAGTTTTAGTTTCACCTGGTTTAGTTTCATAATTTTCAGGGAACCTTGTGCTATCTGATTATTGGTTAATCGAAAATATAATTGACACATTAATCGATAATGATTAGTTCCAGCCTTGCTGCAAGAAAAAAAAATTCTGGCCACAAGTTGTGGCGAGAAAAATCAGCGAAAGCTCCCAATACTGAGCTGCGGGATCTAAATGACATTGTTTTGCTGTGAAGGCGAGAAAAAACTTCTCGTGGAGTATTTATGTTACTAGCTTTGCACTTATGTTTAACTTCTTCAAAATCAACAATATTCACGTAACTGACATGCATAAAAAAGTATTAATGCTTATTTGTATCAAAATTTGTCTTAAGATTCAAGTTTTATTTAGTCTTCCATACTTGACACTGCAGGCTTTTATATCGGCTCCTTTCTCTTGCTCCTCTTTAAACACAAAAGTTATGTCTTTAGTAAAAAAAAAAAAAAAAGAAGCAGCCAAAAGATGTTACACCCTGATGAAGGCTGTTTAGGAGTTGCAATTAGGGCCGCAGCTATTAACTATATTAGCAGTTGATTAATTAGTCACTTATTTTGATTACTCTAGAAAAAAAGTTTTGTAAATTAACATGTCTAATTAAACAAATGTTTGGATATTAGGGGGGAAAACTATAACTCGTTTTAAATGAAATGTAGACGACAGGTGGTGGCCTGTGTTTCCTATAGTTTAGTCTTAATTGCTGCATGTAATAGGCTGTTCTTTCAGAACATGGCATGTTTTAGAGTCTCTATACCAAAATAAATAATGGTTAGATAACAGGATTAGCTGACAATTATTTAAAATCATTGATTTATCATGAATAAATTCTGAGTGCAATCGGTTATCACAAATAATTTCGCTTAATCATTTTAGCCGTTAAGAAATAATATTTAGTATTTTGGCTGTTGAGTTTTAACAGCCTTAATCACATTTAATAACAGTTTAGTTTAATATTTTTTTTTACATGTGGTTTACAAAAAAGGGAAGAGCAAAATTTTATTTGGTCAGTTCCTCAAAGTCTACATTAGCTCTCAGTGACAGTTTGATTTTATCAAAGTTTTCTATTAGGTCTAGAGAGCAGCTACTGTCGCCTTGCCTGTGGCTGTCATTTCTTCAGCTGCTCATCATATACAGTGCTTGGTTGTTTCTTAGCTCTAGAGGTGTGTGCATATGATGGGCTTTTCTAAAATAATAAAATAAAGTGGGATTCTTTTTTTTCCTCTGCATTCTTAGCAAGGTAACACTGATCATTTAAAAAAATATTTAATGGGTCGAGACTCCTGTGTTCTCACATACCTGATTTTAAGCAGAAACAAGATAAACTCAAAGAGAAGAGAAATTCATCTTGTGGTCCTTAACTCTTAGTCATTTCTCTGGCCTCTGTTTCAGGACATTAGATTATAAAACAACTTTCCATTGGTGGGTTTTTCAGGAAGTGCCCCCTGGCTAGATGCAGCTTATGTCAGAAATTGATTTTTTAACTTTGCAGACTGGCAAGCACATTTCCAACCTAAACATGTCTCCGTTTTCTGCTTTAACCCTTTGATTCTGCAACACGTTGACTTTTTAATCCATCTGAACCAGACTGGCTGAACAGGAAGACCTGATTTTTCATGCTTTTACTGTGTAATGTCGGTTGGCCTGGCCTAATATAACCCTTCAGTTTCTGCGTCAGAGTTGGCCAGAGAGGCCCAGGGGAGAGATGTTGGATTGATTTTTCTAGGATCAATTCAGCCCTGGCACTATGCGGGGCTTAGTGGTACATTTGGGCTTAGAGAAAAAAAAAGCAGGCCGTTCTTGTTTTGCCTTTTCACTCGAGAGTGACACTTTTTATGTTTATCGAAAAACACAACGATCATTTCAAAAAGTTTTCCATTAAAAAAAGGGAAATCTGATTGGTTCTGCTAATTAGGGGCAGTTTGACCTGCATCTATTAGTGTCTGCTTCATCTCAGGGGGCTTTACAGAGGCCTAGTTTCTATAGGACTTTAACTCTGGGCTGGTTTAATATACCAGCTAGTGTTTTTTGCCCCTCCCCCTGGGTGATTATGCCCCTGTTTAGATCAATATATAGCCCCTGTGTGTGTGCATGTGTGTTTATGTGTGTTTAACATGAGAGGGAACAGCAGAGAGCACTTTGTGTACAGAATAAATATTGATACAAACCAAGCAAGGGTCCAATTGATCTGAATGAGTGTTAAGGCGAGCACCGCTGCTCAGTGGAAGTGGATGCTACTCTTTAAACCTGGTCTCCAAACAAACACTCGGCCTTTGGAGAACCTCAATACTGTCCGCTGGCGAGGACGCCCGACTGGCTTTCGTCAAGGTTTTTGGTTGCTGTTCTGGCCAGATAGCTCTCCGAGAGGAGGACAGGTCATGAGTCAGTGGCTGTGAGGAAGAGGCAAAGGAAGAAGCACAGGGGAGACTTTGCGAGGCTAATGTGTGACAGGAAGAGCTCCAGAAGGCATGCAAGCAAGAGGGAGTCATCCTCGCGCTCAAGCGAATCTGGGTCGCGCTCAGCAGAGGCTGCTGCACCAGAGGTACCCATAGTCCTGCCAGATGGTAAGGAATTTCAGGGTACCGTGTGAAGCTTTTGTTTTTGCATCCACTTGCAGCTACAGAGTAGTCATGACTGTCAACTTCCTACTTCTTATCAGACAAGGCTAATTAGATAAAGACCATCAGGCTTTAGGACAGCTGCTGATCCTACATTCACTACATCCTCATTTTTCCTCAGCTGGGCTCCACTATTCCCCATCAGTTGCTCCATTTTTGGCTCTTTATGCTTGGAAGTGGAAGTTGAGCAACTTTCCCGGGAAATGTTTTCTCCCTGGCGACCAGTCTGCTTTCATTGCTCTCTGTGGGAGCCGCAGCACTCCTGGCATGTTTACATGAACTTTAGTCTCTGCCATTTTTGCTGGCTTTCTCCCATCCCATTGTCGGAGCTGATAGTCTTTGGAGAGTCGGCCGGAAATCAGACCACCTTAGTTAGGATTGTTGGTTTAAATGGACTTCCCCAATGAATTTATGTAGATAGATAGATTCATTCAGAAGGATTTTATTATTATTTAGGTTGTCCAGTTCAAAGGGAGGATAATTTGTGTCAACATTTAAAGCCCTGAACTGATACATGAATTACAATGCACTTACACTCTGTTGACCACTGGCTTTCTTTATCTAAAGTGCTCCAGCTAGTTTGTTGGGCATTGATTAGCTAGATACAAATTTACATAATCCTGAAAGGCTTAACCAGCGTTATCATTCTCTCATTGTTTTCCTGTTTATATTTTAATGTTACTGTATTTTTTTTCCATTTCAAATGTGTTGCATTAGGCACAAAAACGTGTGCCGTTAAGATAATTGCAGTTGTCCTGATCTGATTTTAAGGATTGATTTAGCGGCTAAATAAACTCCTGTTTTTCATATGTTTTTAATTTTAGTTGTTGTGTGACCAAGGCTGGCGGCAGAAATAGCTGTATTCCCTGGGTTTATGTGGCCGGTTCACACATGGTAGGGAGGAATGAGGAAGGGCTAGTTATCTGGATGTTCTCACAGTGTGCTCTCAGAAGCCCAATAAAGATAAGGGGGCAAAAATGAACTTCTCTATATGACAATGTGTGTGCAAAGTCATAATTAATCTGTCCACAGCCATTCATATCTGATGATAATAGTCTGTTCCATGTTTACTTTCCTCTGTCCTACAAAGAAGAGCATGAGTAGTATCGCCTCAAAAGCTCTCATGAACTTTAGCATGATGTGATTTAAGTTTTCCAGCTAAAGTCTGTTTTGGAAAATAATTTTATTTCCCTTTTTTTCTACTCAAAAATGGCTCCTTTATGCTACAAATGGCTGCTTTTTCATTAAGCAAAACTTCTCTGGTCATGAGGAGCCGTAAATAAGCAGCATGTGGTGAAAGTGTGGGGGGGGGGGGGACAATTCCTGTATTTTGTTTTGTTTTTCTCACTCCGTGACATCCAGCCCGTCTTCTGTAACTTGTCTTTGTGTTTCTTTTGATTTGAGGCTGGTAGGGAAAAGCACACACATGCCAACTGGTTTCTGAGCATTATTTTTCATTGTAGGTTTTACATTTTCAACTCATTTTCTGTGTTACCTTTTAAACTTTATGGCTAGGACACAAAATAAAGTCCTCCAGGATTTTTTTTGGATTCTTTGTTTGTGTTTTTTTTTTTTTTTCACCTCTTTTTTTCTGGTTTAAACCTATTAATTTAACCCACTATTCCTCTGTTTGCAGTGAAGGAGTTTCTTGCCAAAGCCAAAGAAGATTTCCTGAAAAAATGGGAAAATCCAGCACAGGTTAGTGAATAGATGAACACATTCCCCCTGTCTTGTTTCTCTCTAAGCAGTGCTAGATAGTTTTACACAGAAAATAGTCTGACATGTGTTTTTTTTTTTTTTTTTTTTTTTTAAGTTATACAATAGCTTAATTAGATTTTTATTTCACATAAGCCCCCTCTGCTGGACAAATCGTGTAATAGCGCATACATTTTTAAACCTCAGCTGCACTTCCTAAATATCATCCACAAATTACATTTGCTAAATAAAGTCAAACGGACGAGGTTTATTAAATTTTATTTTAATAATTGTTAATTTTAATACATGTGCTTTTCTTTCATCAGGTTTTGTTTAGAGTTTTGTTTTCCTGATTATATCCTTTTCTGGCCTTGCAGCAAACGGCAGCGTTGGATCACTTCGAGCGTTTGAAGACCTTAGGCACTGGCTCATTCGGCCGCGTCATGTTGGTTAAACACAAAGAGACAGGCCAGCATTTTGCCATGAAGATACTTGACAAACAAAAGGTAGATTAAACTTGATGCACAACTTTTTTTTACTAAATAATGATAAATGATTGTGAGGGCTTGGTTTGATGGTCCCCCGTTCAGACTGTGTTTCCTGATCTCTCAGGGCTTGTATCATAAACTTGGTTTGTTGCTTAATTTTGTTGCAGATGTTTAAGTAGATATCTCTTTGTTGTAAGTTTGTTCTAAAATTGCATGTTGTGCATTTAAAACCAAAGTAGGATGTATAATTAAGGCCTATTCCATGATTGTTTTCCTAGGTAGTGAAACTGAAGCAGATAGAACACACGCTGAACGAGAAACGTATCCTGCAAGCTGTCAATTTTCCTTTTCTGGTGCGACTGGAACATTCGTTTAAGGTCTGCCTCCAAATGTTCATCTGTTGAAGTGTGTTATGCTTAGCGTTCTGTGCCATTGTAACCTTTTTGCTGTCTGGCTGCAGGATAACAGTAATCTGTATATGGTGATGGAGTATGTCCCAGGAGGGGAAATGTTCTCACATTTAAGGAGGATCGGTAGATTTAGGTAAGCTGAGTTTTTAATCTGGTGAGTCCCAGTACTTTACTGACACATTGTTTTACTGTAAATATTGAGGTTATAATGTTTTGCAGTGAACCACACGCCCGCTTCTACGCAGCTCAGATTGTACTGACCTTTGAATACCTTCACTCCTTGGATCTCATTTACCGAGATCTGAAGCCAGAGAACCTCCTGATCGATCAGCAGGGTTACATACAGGTGAGAGTTTCAAAGTTGCTTTGTTTTTGTTGTTTTTTTAGATCAATACTGATTTTTGTCTCACCTTATAAAGCCTGTGGCTAATGCACTGACCCTTCCCGCCCTGTGCTCTCTATAGGTAACAGATTTTGGATTTGCAAAAAGAGTGAAAGGCCGAACCTGGACGCTTTGTGGGACTCCAGAGTATCTGGCACCAGAGATCATCCTCAGTAAAGTGAGCGTTCACTTCATGTCAAGCAGTTCATAGTCAAGAAGAAGCTGTAGCTGTATTGGAGTTCTGTGTCATTTTGTATTGTGAGTGTGTGAGTTATGCTCTTTTTTTTCTTTCTCCTATTTTCAGGGTTACAATAAGGCAGTGGACTGGTGGGCTCTGGGGGTTCTGATATACGAAATGGCTGCAGGTTATCCTCCCTTCTTTGCAGACCAGCCTATTCAGATTTATGAAAAGATTGTATCGGGGAAGGTGAGTTTAGGGGAAACACACTGATCTCTCTTTTCCGTTTTTGAGTGAACATTTCTATCAGATTGATATCAAATTCCCACTGGTTTGGGTTCAAATATATTTCAGTTACAGTCTTTGCATTATTCTTAGTGAAACATATTTTTGCTGTAGCGTTGGGAGGAATAAATTGGACCCCGGTGTCTATGCAATTTGGTCTTCTTTTTGGTATAAAGCTAAATAACTGATGTTTATAGGTGGATAACTTTGTTAAATCTCTTCAGCCCCTTAAAGTTCAGTCAGTGGCTGACCTCCACTTACCTTTTATCCATCAGCATTTATCAGCTGATAATTCAGAGAAATTCTTTGACTGAATTTTTTTCTCCTGAAATAGTCATACTTTTTCATTCATATGGTTAAGTTGATTCCTGTAGTTTTCATTTATTGTGGTCCACTTCCTCTCAACTAGAAGTAAACTGATATATCAGCCAGGCGATATTTTTTGTTTTAGCATTTTTTTCCCCTTGCATCGGTGTTCAGCGATTCATTAATGCATTCAGCAGGCATGCCTTAAAATCACGCTAAGGACATGCATTTGTGCTTCCTCCTTTAGCCATCAACTGTTAATGTTTTGTTTTATTTGTTATTAAACGTTTTTTTTTGTTTGTTTGGAAAAATATTCTTTTTATATATATATATATATATATATATATATATATATATATATATATATATATCTTTATTTAAAAATTCAATTTATAAAATAGATGCATAAACAACTCATTTTATTTCAGTGTTTAATGCTGTTTAAAGTAACAGATTATAATTAAAAATGTCTCCAGACCTTTCCTGGTTTCTTTATTTGGACCCAACAGATTTTTAATTGGTTGGACTGATGTCAAAATAATTACTGTTGGCTTTAAAAAAAACCTGTATTGGTTGAAATCTACCCTGCACTGAACATGGATTTGATTATCGTTTAGAATTGAAGAGTTTTAGTAATTGTGTGTAGTTTTATAGACTGATCCTGACTTTTGGACCTCAGCAGTGGAGGAACTGATGTCTCAACAGATTATTTTCCCAGATTCACTGAACTGACATTATTGTAAAAATTTGAAAGTATACAGATTGTTTTTCCCCCTGTTTATCTCCTAAGCTATAACATTCGTTCAATACAAAATGTTTGGCACTTGTTGACTAGTTCAGTCCCCTCAGAATCATCTGGGGGTATAAATTCCTGAGGTCTGAGAATGCTGTCCTCAGGATTGTTGCTTTTACCGTTTGTAGGTTCGTTTCCCATCCCACTTCAGCTCAGACCTGAAGGATATGTTGAGAAATTTGCTGCAGGTGGATCTGACCAAGCGCTTCGGCAACCTCAGGAATGGGGTCAACGATATCAAGGGTCACAAGTGGTTTGCCACCACAGACTGGATTGCCATCTACCAGAGAAAGGTGAGGCCAGCTGTTTTCTCGTTTTCCTCAACTGTGATTAAATTAAACTCCGATCAGTGGAAATGTGTCTGTGGTGTTATGGGCTAGTTGAAGCCCACATGTCAATCCACACATACAGAATGTGCTGCTCCTGTACCTACAATAAAAGTGGTTGTACGAATAAATATTACATCTCCTTTATCTCCTAATAACCACCTCATAATTTATCACATAAAATATGTTTTATGACTTTTGTGATTTTGATGAGTTCGTGAGTTTTGAATACTCTATCAGGTATAAATAATGAAAGCTGCCAACATGGCGGTGGTAACCAGGAAGAGCTGCAGAGATCCAGAGCTCAGGATGGATTATCTTTTGGCAAGAAGCTCCACAAAGCTGTTGTTTTACGTAAGGAAGAAAGTAGATCCTAGACAAAAGTGATAAGAAGTCCAATTTGTTCTTGTTTTTTTTGTTTTTAAGAGTTTTGTATAGGGTACAGCAAATTTGTGAATTAACCAATGGGTTGTACCTTAATATATTTACACACTCCTGGTTTTAATCTCTTATAATAATAATAAATAAAAAAAACATATTCAAAAAACAGATGCCCATTTATGCACTTTCCTGTGTCTGTTTATTTTGGTCCAAAACACAATAAAACCCACTGAACTTTATTAATAAAACATGGCATCAATTTCTCCCTTTGATCCAGCTGTTGGAGCACTGTCTGGTATAACACTATCACTGTAGTAATCTTTGCCACCTTTTGTGTTCCAGGTGGAAGCTCCTTTTATCCCCAAGTGCAAAGGCCCCGGCGACACAAGCAACTTCGACGACTATGAAGAAGAGGAGATCAGAGTTTCCATCACAGAGAAATGCGCAAAGGAATTTGCAGAGTTTTAGATTCCAACCAGGGGTAGCAGAGCGAGGGACAGAGATTTAGAAAGTAAGGATCTGAATACAGGAAAGGAAAGGCTAGGTTGGACTGACAACTTGTTCATTTATAATGAGGAAAACCATGTAAAATCGCCCTCTACCCCCCACCCCTCCTCCCCCAAATTGGTAAGATAGGCAAAGTGAAGAAAGATCTACAGAACCAGCAGTGTTGCCTTTTCTGATTGTTTCTCAACAGTTTGCTGTTCATTTATTTCTCTCTCCTGTTTTTGTGTCAGAGTCTGGACAAGAACAAGCATAGTCCTGTCGCTACAACTGTATCTTTCTGGTGGTATAATGACACATTTGCGGTCTTTAAAGGAGAGGGCACTGATTTCTCTGAAGGTACAGAGTCTGTTGGGCTCCATTTTGAATAAGCCCACTCTACAAGGTGTCTCTAACAGCGGTAGAGGGATCATTGTATAATGTCGGCCTGTTTCCCTCCATCTCTCCAACCTGAATCTGTCCAAGCAATACCAAGTCCAACAGATGTGCCTACTATAATGCCAACTGGTTGGAAAAAAGAAACAAACTGTGTAGTTGGTGCAGAGTTCTGGCTGTGGTGACGTTGAACCCTCGTGGCCATTTGATTGAAAGCTTGAAACCTTTCTGCACCTGCCTTCTGTCTGCTCAATGTGGCATGATTCATAGGTAGATGATGCCGTCCGCTGCTTGCGGTTGAAGCAGTTAGGACCTCTTTGATCAGAGTGAAATTTATTTATCACACTAAACTTCATCTGGGTCTTAATCTTTAAGGGACCCGAGAGAAGTCGGCGTGAGGTCTGCATTTAAGTCTGTCTTTCTCTTAGAGGAATTTACTAGAGCATTTTGCAACTACTGTTGGTGATCATTTTGTCCTTTTTATGTCGATCTCTGTGCTTGTGTCATTTAGTGCTCGAGGGTTGGTTAATAAGCTGTTGTTTAGCAGCTGCTAACATTGTGGTCACACTCCTGATGATGAATCATTTAATTAATTTTCATATTTCACAACCAAACATAGGAAAAATCCATCTTTTCAGCATTGTCTCATAGCTGTAAAAGCAACGTTTAATTTCTGTCAACTGATCGCAGTTGTCTACATGTTACTCTGGTGGATATAAATACGCAAAAACAGTAGCAAAACTTTCTAACAGGGCGCGCATGGTATTTTTGTACAATTTCACTTCTGATGAGAGAAGACTGAGGATTTATTGAAATAAGGTACCTGAGATTGTTTGATGCTGAAATCGAGGCTTAACGATGGATTCAACATGGGGGATTACCCAGTGAAGCCGGACTGGGCCTTGCTCAGTTTTCACTTTTAGGGCGGATGTTTGGATATTGTTTCCGATGTTGATATTCTTACTGACTTTTTTTGTTTTCTGCCCCCTTTCTTGTTTAAAACCCTGTCGCATGGTTTTAATGCTCAGCCAAATTTGGGGGAGGGGGCTTTTGAGGTTTGTTTATCTGGTTTCCAGCTTCCTTTGCTAAGGAAGCTATTCTGGAGCTGTCTACTTTTGCCAAGTTTATTTCTGTGGATGCAAGACAATCGCAGACCAAATCTTAGTGCTGGTTTGTTGACTGAACTCATTGTTTTGTTTGAAGGATGTAAGCTTCCACCAACCTTCCCTTCATAGGCCTGAGGTGCTAGACTATGTCCATCTCTCTGCAGGAGCTTCTGTGACTTGTTTGATGTGCATCAACCTATTTGTCAGAGTCTTGCAACATGACATTTTTAGAATGTTTCTAACTACGTGATTTCAGTAGACAGGAGTAATTGATTGGCAGTGTCTTAATGTAATCGAGATCAAACACAGGATACCTTTTGAATGTCTTGGTAAGGAGATGTTTTACTGCTCTGGAAACCTGATGTGTATTTTTTTTTTTTTTTATAACGTGTTTCTTTGGTGAGCTTGGTTTTCTTTTTGCATGTTGTAAAGCAGGACGATGGCGAAACCTTTCCTGGAACTGAGACATCACAGGAAGAAAAACAAAAAAATCATTGTTTCTGGAGCTGACATTGTGTTTTAAATTCAGTTTCTTTTTCCGACATTACACTAAATTATGCCGCGTATCATCAACATGAATTATCTGGATAATGAAGCACACGTTTTCTAATCTGTTTCAATAATTTGTGCTTATTCTGTACACCTTTGTATTTTAAAGAAAGCACATGTAATGAGTTTTCCTCTTTTTCCTAACAAACAGCAAAATCAGAGTTTGAGATGTAGAAGGCAAATCAACGCGATCCACTCCTGACACTAAAGACATTAAACTTCTGTTTGTTACACTTTTTCTCACACAAACTTTTGTCAGCTGCTTTCATTCTTTTTTACCAGCTTGACACTATTGACTGCTCTGTGCTACATTAATTTTGTCTCCTGTTTGCCTTCTATTTCCACACACTTTATTCAAGCATAACACTTTTTACATCTGAGCTGTTTTGCGTTCATATTTTCTAATTGTATTTTCAAAAAAACAAGGAAAAAAAGAAAAAACAAAACGTCAACCTTTTTTCCTCATGACCTGGGTACAGTGCTTGTGTAGTCTATTGTACCTTTTTTGGGAAACAATACTGTACATCTTTGCCTTTGACAGTCTTAACTATCTTACCCTCTGGAGAACTTGACAGATACCCTTAGAACACAATGAGTATGTTTAAAAAAATATATAAACAAAGTAATATTTTGCAAAATGTATCATTCCAATAAAGTTTTACTTGTTAAGACTAAAATGTGTTGATCTTTCACTTAATGCAATGTGTCAGAGGAAGGCTACTGTTCTGTTTCAGCATTGTCACTACCTAATCCGTCCCGGACGCGTGATCCGTACCATCAGCTCATTTACACATACGCAACCATATATACATACAGGTTACCATGAATAATGTAAGTATGGTAGTAAAATTACTTATTTCTACTATCCTTATAACTCGCTAAAGAATGCTAATACACATCTTCTGAGGTGTCAAGTAACAATGTACAAATACTTTGTTACTGTACTTAACTGCACTTTTTAGGTATCTATACTTTACTCCATTACTTATTTTTCTTTCTACTTCTGACTTCTACTCATTACATTTTCGAACAAGTATCTGTACTTTCTATTCCTTACAAATTTAAAACAAACATTACTCATTACTCCTGGCTTCGGTTTTGTTTATAAATATTTATTTGACGTCATGTGCGCCAACCAATGCAGATCATTGGCGCCATCACCATGTAGTGAAAGCTACTGTAATTGGATGAGTCATATAACGCAAACGCTTATTGGTTAGCTAAAGGAAATCATCAGAAGCAAGCAGGTGTTCTTCAAACTGCAAACGGGAATGTCTATGCCATGCTACAATGTCGGATTCAGAAAAAGATGTTAAAAGGTCGGACACAGGCCAGAGCGTACCGGGAGACGGAGACCAACAAGGCATCCCTCATCCATGGCCCTATCTCGAAGAATTTTTGGAAATGGTCAAAAAATTGAGCCTTTAATTCATATAGTGGCATCTGGCTTTTTTTTTTTTTTTTTAAGTTTACTTTATGTTTTAATGCTTTAAGTAATTTTTGGAGCTCTTACTTTTTTACTTTTACTTAAGTAAAGAGGTCAAGTTGGTACTTTTACCAGAGTGTTTTTAAAAGGCAGTATCTATACTTCTTAAGTAAGAAATGTGTGTACTTTTGACACCACTGCACATCTTAAAAAAATGTTTTATGATTTTTTTCGGAGACAATTTTGAGGATTTTTACATTTTCTCATCGGACATGCTCAGAGTACTCCTGCAAAGTATGATTTAACCATGTTTATCTGCATTTTAGTTTGTTTTTTTTAGGTTACGCGCTATATACCATAATGTTAACACGAAAGGAAAACATACAACTCAAAAAGACTAGACTTATGTTCAAATCCAAAGTCGTAATAAGTTAGCTCCCAGATGTGGCGTAGGATCCCATTTCCGGTTCAGATCTGGCACGGACGACTGATAAAAAAGAAATTATTTTAAGGAATTTATTGTCTCAACCTATAACACATTATAGTTTAGTACGATTACTGTTTTTGTGGAGGGAAAAACCTAATTTATGTCTTTTTTTTTTTTTTTTTTTTTTATCAAAATAAAATCACGGGTGACCCGGATGCATATCTGGTTGAGCATGCTCAAATGAGCGGATGGTACGGATCGTGCTTCCGGGAAGGATTGGGTAATGACAAGCATACAAGCAGCAGAAAGTTTGCTCAGCCAGAACTGACCAATGTTGGCTTTTATTTTCTGGTGCTCATGAACTCCGCCCCCTATCTGTTAACACCCTGGACAGTTGCCAATATGACCCATATCACTGACTTCTACCAACCCCAATGTTTTTCTGTTTTTTTAGGAATAATATTTTGTACATTATAAGCATTAACTGACTGTATTATTCATAGTTTTGAATGAGGTTCATTAACTGAGATTCATCTTTCTGTTTTAAAACGTGTTTTGCTCTTCTTGGTCTTTATGTATCGGATCATCAAATGTAGTATTTAAAAAACCCAAATGTCTTCCTGGTTTGGAAACCCAAACCAAGACATGGAAGAAAATGGATGACTTTCCATTCACACAGACGATCAAACACAGGTTATCAAAGTGGGTCTATAGTTACCTCTGAGTGCTGTAACAATTAGAAGATACCTAGTTGATACCAAGCTATTAACCTCTACAGAAATGAGTAATGTGGATAGAAGAGGCCTAAATCTAGTCAATAAGAGTTCTAATAAGAGTCAGACTTATTCTTATGATTCTATAAACACTTAAGATCCACAAGGTGAAATATGGTGGTTCCAGGTTCAGCCTGTTCTGTATCAGTTTAAGTACATCAAAATATTTTATAGTTTCTAAAACTAAAAGTGAAGAAATAGAATAACTGAATAGAGGCCACCACAATCTGCAGCCTGAAAGCAAACAGGAAACTTGTAGAAGGACATCGATATGTTCTTCCTGAGGTAAAACCAAGAAAAGCTGCTGGAAATATGGATGCATGTATTTTACCATCTGCCTGGTTGCTGTACAGGTCTGGTTAACTCATGTATGTCAGGTGGGAAGCTGCTCTCAGAAACAATTATACAACTTCAGTAATTCACACAAACCTTTAACATTTCTCAGTTTATGCAGCCAATTCTTAGTGTTTGTAAAGGAAAAATTCGACACTTAAAATATTTATTTTTCCTTATAGAGTGACTGATTTTATTTTGTTAATGTTTTGCTTTTGAGTAATGAAGAATAGAATACGAATTCAGCTTTATTGTCATTACAATTGTTCATTTACAGTTCATTTTGTGGCTCTTTACTTGTGACAGTATAATGACAATAAAAAAAAATTTAAAGTTGGAAAGAAAAAAGCAATTGTCATGAGTACAAAGCAACAAAATTCACTCACTGCATATAACCCATTCCCTTAGGGAGCAGTGGGCTGCGTTTGTGCGGCTTCCTGGGGAGCAGTTTTGGGGTTAAAAGTCTTGCTCAGGGACCCAAAGTGGCAGTCCATGGGAATGTGTAGTGCTTCTGATGTACATTCATGCAAGGATAAAGCAGTTTGTTTTAACGTTTTCAAGTTCAAAGACTGCTAATGTATAGTCTGGTTTCAAAAGGGTGAGAATTGAAAGTGGGTTTCCTGTTTTCAGTCAGAATATACATAAGTCTACAACCTAGGAATATCATTACTGAATTTCACCAGATCACAATGATGAAACTGTTAATTTGGCTGCAAACAATTTTGGGGAAAAAATGGTTTAAGAATAGTACAGCTTTTGTTTAACTAATTCATACCAAGATTCAGAGTCTATGCTGTGGACTGTGGAGCTCTTGTAATATTCATCCATCTTCTGCTTATTCCATCAGGGTCACAGTGGGGCTGGTGCCTATTTCCACCAGTCTAAGAGCAAGAGGTATGGTTCACGCAGGACAGATCACCAGTCTGTCGCAGGGCAACACAAAGACATACAATAATGCACACTAACTCTCACACTTCAGGTAGTTTATTCAATGCCAATGAACCTAACAGTCATGCTTTTGGACTGCAGGAGGAAGTCGGATTACCTGGAGAGAACCCACGCATGAACAGGGAGAACATGCATGAACCCTGAACACTTGTGTTGCAAGGCAACAGTGCTACAGACGGCACCAACGTGCAGCTCGCTTTTGTATTTCATTGAACTATTTTTTTGTTGGGGCTAAACCCCACTGTTCAGGGATTCTAGCACCACTGGGCTGTACCATCTTCAAAAGCTTATATGGTCATATCTTATTGTAATAATTTTTTCAGGCTCTGAAAGCAACTACTTTTGCAGGTTTTTAATTTGCCTGCTTGACATTTACATCCTTATCTTTTGATTAAAGCATTTGTCTTTACTGGTGAGTGTTTTTCTTTCCGCTGGCACAGTCTTAAGGCATAATTTTGGTTAACTAAGTTAAGCAATACAACATCTGCATAAATGGATTTATTAAAACTAGTTATCTAAACATAGTAGGAAAGGTTCTTTTTTGCATGAAATGCCAAGCTTTGACTGGATCTTAAATGAGATCACAGCAAAGAGAACACATGTGCCTGGGTGAGGGTTCCTTTTCTGGAAAAAGTAGGAAAGAGAACTATGGTGGACCGAGTTACGAAAACTGTATTTGCTCCCTTCTGTTTGCTCATCAATGATCTGAAACCTTAGGCGTGAAAAGAAACGAATACATTAGGGGGAAAGTACTTTTTTTTTGCTACACTGTATAACCTGACCAAATATTTGCACCTGCTAAACAATTAAGTTGTAATCTTGTAAGGCTATGAAATATTTGCCAAATATAATAAAGTAAGGGAATCCTTGGTTTATAGACACCAAGTGTGCCTTAATATTGTGCACTTAAACACATTAATACCTAATCATAGCAGGTATAAATTGATCATTCCTTTAGCCTGGGTGAAAACTTTATTCATTACGTCTCATAAAATGTATAAAAAACGATTATAGTTGTATGGACACAAAAAAGCTTCAGCTGCAAAAAATGAAGGGATTGATATGATGGACATTAAAGTTACGGTAATTTGTTTTAGTAACACTAGATAAAACTGTAGACAGCACTGCAAGAACTGCAGCAACAAAGAAACCCAAAGTCAAACTTTGTTTAGGGCCTAAAGGAGGCCCTGATTTAACACAATCATTAATATTGGTGGTTCTAAAATGTTCCTGTCCCTAGAGACCAAGACACAGAGAGAAGAAACGTCACAGGATCCAGAAACCAAGACGGGTATGAAATTAACCAACAAACAACTGTAAAGTTAGCGAAAGTGATTTTTTCAAACTTAGGAAAAATCTTTTCCTGTTCAGTTGTTGCTTGGGAATGCTAATGGGTTATGTAGTATTTAGTATTTTGGGGGGGAAAAAGAATAAAACATGGAAAACTAGTGTTTTTGTTGTGTGGATGAACTTAAAAAGAGGTTTTGAAAAGGTTTTATTTTTCTCAAGATATTCTGCAACTTGGATAAAGCCTTTAGGGATCAATTTGTGGTATTAAAAACTACTTTCTACTGCATTCACTAACTTGACTTGCATTTATTTGTAGAGATGCACCACATCACCATTGTGTTCAGATCCAGCTTTAAACTAGGTATGCCTGCTTAAAACATCAGTTTTGCTCAATGCCTGTTAGAAGCTAAGAAACTGATGATTTAAACTATATAATTGTTAAGTTGTTCATATGCAATGCAGATGCAATCGTTGAAATATTACTTTTTACTAATATTTGCATGTCTCTAAAGTAATTATGGGTTGTCTGCTATCTATAAAAACAAGGAGGTAACGGAACATGAGCTGAACGATTTTTTTAATCAGTCTAACTAATTGCATGTTGGTTAAATTAATAACACTGCATCTGCCCACATTCTCTCTATAGTGATTTTAGGGACCTCTGCTTTTATTAATTTAGCTTTTGTACACTAAATACTTGGTTATGCACTCAGAGAAGGGGCGTGTGAAACCTGGGTACAGAAAATACCACCTTAAATGCGGCCTCTAGAGTGAAACTTTTCGCCCCCAACTCCGTCAGTCCACCTTAAGCGCACAGGCAAACGCAGGAGGCGTTCAGAGAGGTTTCCGCTTCTCACTGGGGTTCGGACCGCGGATCACGAAAATCACCGCGTTTAACGTCCAAGCTTGACGCACTTAGGTTGAAGGAGAAAAAAAAAAAAAGAGGAAAAAAAATGTCTGAATCTAAATACCGCGAGTGGATTTTGGACACCATCGACTCGCTGCGGTCTCGAAAAGCCCGACCGGACTTGGAGAGGATTTGCCGAATGGTCCGGAGGAGACACGGGTCCGAGCCCGACCGAACCTGCGCAGAACTGGAGAAACTGATCCAAGAGCAAACCGTGCTAAAAGTTAATTACAAAGGCTCCATATCCTATCGGAACGCTGCCAAGGTTCAGCGACGGAGCAGAAAGAAAGACGATGTGTCGTTAGCCTCTGCTGCGAGACGGAGCGCGATGGAAGAAGCGAGTCATTCCGACCTGAGCAACGGGGATAGCGCTCTGGGAGCCGTGGACCAGGACGAGGAGGACCTGGAGGTAAAGCAGGGAGCCGCCGATACGGGGTTTAACGTGTCTACATGTCATTGTCAGGTCACCATCACACTAAATGTACAGGTGGAAGTTAAAACACACATTGTACTGTAAAGAAAGGGGAAAAATGGTGGAAAAAAGCTCCTCTTTTTGTTTGTAGAAGGGGAGTGGTGAGGGGAGTGATTTGCAAGTGCACCCAAAAAAAAAAAAAAGTGCCGCAGACGGGGAGCGGCGGTTGGAGCTCGCTCGAGCGCCGCCGAGCTGGAGAAGAAAAGAAGGTGCGCGCGTGCAGCTTTCTGCGAGCGTGCCTCATTTCACGCGGCACCGGTTAAAAGCGTTTTTAACCCCTTTTTTTTTTTAAAAAAAAGCTCAACAATCACAAAGTTCTCATTTTCACTCGGCCCGCAACAATCTCAGCCTCCATTTACAGCAGGCAGAAGGGGGGGACAGAAAAAAAAGCGCTTTTCAAGCCACAAACTCGGCGTAGAGCGAAAGGGGGACAAACGAGTACAGTTAGACCGGAAGTACAGAGACCAAGCCTTCAAAATAATGCTATCTGAATATAGTGTTTTATATTACGCTTTTATTTTTGTATATTTTGAACCGGAAACGTTTGTTTTTATCGCGTATTTATCATTTGGAAGCGAGTAAAGGTGGTGTCGGTGGTGGGGAGGAAAAGTGTCCAACACCGCGGATGTAGGAGACGTTTGCCCGTTGATTCTTTTTCTTTATTCTGAAAAAAAAAAACGAGTTGCACACCACAAACTGTATCATTGCAGCAAGTGACTGTCTATCGGCTAGGTTTTAGTTTATATAGCGATTACATCCACAACTATATGCACTAAAGTAAGCAGAAGATAATAAATAAACAATGACGCAACATTATTTTTGAATTATGGGGAATTTGTGGGGTTTTTTCTTGTTATGGGGAGGGATGTTTACGCGATGCATAAAGTCGAACCCCTAGATCCATTGTCGGACAGCCTCCCAAACCCAGTCACGTCCAAGAGGTGCATTAACTCTCTAATGCCCCTTCCGTCCTCTGCAGCGCGTCATTTTCTTCTCTATGTTTTAATCCGATGACTGTTTGCTGTTTTATGAATATGGCAACGCAAAGTAGCGAGACGCGCTGGAAGTGGCGGCTTTTATCGCAAACTGTTCTCCTGGCGCTAGATGGCGGATGCGCCCATCCGATTTGGGTTAAGCCGAGATCAAAATTGACTTTGTTCTGGAAAAGACGTGCGTGTCGCGTCAGAAAAGCGAATGCGGACGGTCACTTCCACCAGATCGCCGCTCTTTGGCAACATTATGCAGACTTGCAGATGTAGGAGCCTTTATGTCCGATAACGGAGTCGTTTGCTTTCTGCTCGTTTTTTTTTCCTTTTCCCTCCCAGTAAACTGTTGACCCGATGCAAAGTCAAAGTAGGGTTTGCGATCGAGCCGCTCATTGCAGAGATTCTGTTTTTTTTTTTCCTATTGTGCTGCTGTTTTAAACCCGCGACTGGAGAAAAGCCCTTTAGACACAATGGCGCGGCTCCCAACTCCATGCGCACTTTGGAGGAAATTTGAGAGAGAAATAAAAACGCCTCCCGTCGGCCCTTATTTTTTTGTGCTCCTCCGTGTTATTAATTTTCCCGGACAACACCGCCTCTCAGACAGCAGGCAATCTGACATCTGTAAAAATCTAAAAACCCCTGTTTCGATCTAGAAAACGTGATGCTTTTGACTGCTTCAGAGATAAAGTTGCAGAATGCGGTCCTGTGGGTGAATTCCACAGAAGCGGCTCTTTCCACAGGCGCGGGGCGGGCTTTCATGCGCTCCTCTGCACGACTGCTGGGTGTAGGACACGCAGTCGCACATAAGGTAGTTTTTTTTTCCCTCCCAGACGCCGTCGAGCAAAAACCTCCCATTTGCCCGAGTAGAAGTGATGAGACCAGATGGTAAAACTAGTTATATTCCACCAGACAATGTTGTTGCGCACGGAAATCCGTTTGTAAGGCGCGTTTTGAGGCAATCATTTACCATAAAGGTGGTCAAATTGCAACATAAGTATGAGCATGTTTTTTGTGTCACTCACCCCGCTTGTATTGCACGTTTTAAAAAGTCTTTCCAATCTGAATTATGACTAAACAAAGAAAAATCTAAATTAATTGAAATAGAAATTCTTATATTATGCACACCTGATTATGTGTTGCAGGGGGACACCTCAATGGCTATGGACACAGACAGCAATCCTGATGAGGAAGGGGCAGAGGAGAGTCATGATGGGCCTGTCAGACCGTCTCCCAGTCCCACTCATGAAGATGCCTCTCTGCAGTGTGCCCCCATACGGGCTGTCTCTGCTCCCTGCTCCCCCTCTGCTCCTCAGCCTGGCTCAGGCCCCATCTGCAACTCCGTCTCTGCTCCGGACTGCGCTGCTACCCAAAAGGCGGGCGAGAGGCCCAACTCCTTGCCCCCTTCCAGCCCTAGGGCCCTTACACACAATGAATGGGCTTATGATTCAGCTGTCTGCCCAGTGGAGCCCCAGCACCCAGGAATGCAGAGGGACAAAGGTATCCACACGGCTAGAGACGGGATAATGTGTGCTGCCAGTGTTGTTGGGCACAATATTGTTTTACATGTGAGCTTATGCTAAGCTTTGCAGCAGATTCAAAGCTGCTATGGGAGCTTCAAAGCAGCAAGAAGATTAATTGTTGGATATTTACAGCAGAAATGCAGTAAAGCTAGATGCGGAGGTGCAGGAGAAAGTAATGCATCTCTAAAATCTCTTCTGCGCTGATTTGTCTCACCAGTTCTTTTGTATTCATGGTCTTTTAGTCCCAATGGTCCACATTGCAAAAAACATTAGGCTACATTTGTTTACGGTAGGAATATATTTGTGCAGGATTGCAGTCTGAGCCGGTCAGCGTACGTTGTATTGGTTAATTGTTGTACGTGGGTTTAAAAAAAAACTGGTTTATGCTATGTTTGCAGTAGAATTGAATCCAGTGGACCTCTCCGAAACGCCAAGCCCCTGCGTTTCAACCAACGGAAAGAAAGACAGTGAAAGCAGGGAGGAGGAGAGCAGCCTCTCATCCGACCAGTTGGTACCCGACTCTGCAGCACAACCGGTACCTGGCCTGCCAGCCCCCCTTTCATAACAAACAGCATCTGCATCACAGCTTCTTGAATCACTTCATCAATTCATGTTTATTTCATTCAACAGGAAGAAGTCAGGAAAGACTCTGATGGAAGATTACAGGCAGTGTCTTCGTCACCTGACAACAGTGAGTATCTTCTGTTGCAAATTATTTTTCTATTACAGATGGCCGATTCTTCAACTGCTCTTTTCATTGATTTTTTTTTTATTTTTATAAAATGCACATATTTATGAATTTAACAGATAATGATCTGCTCTAAAACAGCCGTCTCTGGTTGTCGTTCAGCCTTTGTTTGCCTCAAGGCTTGCTTAAGATTTTTTGAGTGCTTTGCAAGCCTGTCCTGCTACCTTCTGTCCAGATGGTCCCTGTTTAGGCGAAGTTATTTTTCCTCTTTCACCACTGCTGTTTCAATTTGGTAAAGCAAATGCAGTCTGTTTATAATTTTAAGCTTATGAAGTGAGTTTTTTTTTTTCTTATGGCTTGTTATTTTTGGGAGCATTTTTGGAAGAAGAACCCAGTAGAAATAAACAGCACCTAATCATAAGTGACACCCCTGACGCCATGCCTCTGTGTACCATACTTTAGCTGCTCCTGCCCAAGAGGAACATCCCACTGAAAGATGCTTATGTCCCTGTCATGTGTTTCACACATGCCAAGCAGCATGCTTGTCGGGTTTAAATACAGACAGGGCTAGTTAGAGGCTTCATTATGGACCGAGCAATCTCTGCAGTGAACCGTGAACCATCCCTAATAGCAAAATATATCATACCATGAAGGCAGAGTCCACTCTGCTAGATAAAACTAAAAAAGGGGGAAAATATATTTTTTTCAATCTGTAAATTACATATATTTATATATTGAGAAATGCATTATTTGTATAGCTTGAAAGTATTCATAGTGTAAGATTAGTCAGATCACTAAACTGAATAATATGAAACAATAACAATAATCAAGTTTTGTTTTGTTCACAGGTACATTAAAGAAGATAGACACGCCTTACTCAGCTGCTGAAGGCGCTCTTCTTAATGGCGGCACATGTGATCAAGTGTGAGTAGCCTGCTAATGATCTAAATGTTTTACATTATTTAGTGGCTCAGTAAAAGCTGACTTCCTATAGTTTGTAAATGATGTGGAAACAAGTCTTGAATTTACTTTTAGTACTTTCCATGTTGGATTTAGTAGGTAGAATAAATTCTAGAGTATAGAAGGTGTTTGTGTTTACATTTCCAAAAACAAGTTGCTCATAGAGGGGGTTATAAGTACACTATAAGGTATTCTCTTTGAGATTTTTTTTTCTCATAGACTGTTTGTTTGTTTGTTCTAAACAAAAGTTGTTGTGACAGACCAACTCACTATTCCATAGTAGTGAAGTGGAAGGAAAGTTGGTCATGTTTAACAAAAGTATTCACAATAAAAAAATCACAAGTGTTTATCTTTCACTAGAATCATATCATATCTTCTAAGGTCCATCTCTACAGCTATGTTAATGTAGCGTTAAAATGGATCCAGCTCCATTGGGTTAGATGGAAAGGAAACATACATTTTTTTAAGTCTTGCTGCAGATTCTCTGTTGCATTTAGGTTTAAATCTAGATCAGGCCATCCCAGAACATAAATATGCTTTTATCTACGTGATGCAGTTCCAGTTTTGGCTCTGTGGTTGTTCTCTAGGCCGAAAGGTGAAGCTCTACTTCAGTCTTTGGTGTTTGTTTTCCTCTAGGTTTTCCCTTTAAGCAGCCACACTCATCCTAACACCAACTTCCCTGTCTTTTGTAAAGAAAAGAACCTCCAGACCATAAGATGGTGTTTGCAAACGTTTATCTGACCGGCACACATTCTTACATATTTGTCTCTGTCCTTTCCACATGGCTTTGTGGTAGTGAGTTGTTTTCTTCATCATTCCACGACAACATCATGTTTGAGTGCCAAATATATTTTTCAATTATATCTTCCATCCGCCCTGTGGATCTTTGTACTCCCTTAGTTATTGTGGGTTTATTTGCTGTTCCTTTAATCACTGCCATGCTTCACTGGTTAGTATAGGTAGATAACCATCACTTAATAGTTTTTCAGTTGAGCTGGCTTGTTTCAGTTTCTAGATGGAAAATATGCTGCGTCTATAAAGCACTTTTCTATCCATTCTGAGCACTTAAAGTGCTTTACAGTATAGAAACACTTGCACAATTACTAATGCACACATTCTCACACAGTTATGCAGAAGACATGGAGTTATGTGCCTTGCTCAGGGTTGCTGAAACAAGTAATTGGGCGAATCTAAGATGACCACTACTGAGTCACAGTCATGATGCATGGAGCTTTGGATATTTCTTTATTCCCTAATAATAATGCAGTAGCTGTTTTCCTTAGTCTTTATGATGTTGTTTGCTCTCTAATGTTCTAAAAAATATCAAAAATCTGCTTGTTTGTTCAAGGATATCAAATCATTCACAAGTACACTACCTTCGTAGTTGTGTTGCACATTCCAGTGGAAAAAGGTTGCACCAGATTATATTTAGGTATCTTAATAAAAAAGTTAAATAAAAAAAAAAGATGCTGAATTCAGATTTATGCCACAGTTTTTACAGTGTTGGATGTGAAAATGCTGCATGAAGGGATAAGTTACCTCATGAAGAGAGATTGATCTAAAACGACGGCTCTAACTCTTTGTGCAATCTCTCTCCAGATCAGTGAAGGTGGAGAAGATCAACCAGAACTTGTTGCAGTGGACCGTGGCAGATGTGGCCAGTTACTTTTCGGCTGCCGGATTTCCGGAGCAGGCAGTGGCGTTTCGCACACAGGTTAGTTCAGTTCAGGCTACTCCACACTTTACATAACGAACTGGTGAAAATTAGATACATTTTTTTTTTATGCACAAAGCATCATCTCATCAACTACAATAATAAATCCTTTCAAACTCTTCTCAACAGGAAATTGACGGCAAGTCTCTTCTCCTGATGCAGCGCAGTGACGTCCTGACAGGTTTGTCCATCCGACTGGGCCCTGCCCTCAAAATCTACGAGCGTCACATTAAAGTGCTGCAGAGGACCCACTTCCTTGAATGTGACGACATCTAAAGAGGAGACCAGCAATGCTGTATGAACTCGACATGCATGCAGTTCCTCTACCATCTGGATCCTACCGCCCTCCTTCATATATATTAACATAGAGGGTGTGTAGGGTGGGAAAGGCTGCGTTGGAATTTGCCTTCACTGTGAGAACGACCAGAAACTGAAAGACAGTCATCCTACCTCTCATCGTGGTCTTTGGTTTTTCATTTTACCCCCATGTGGCGGCTTTTGCTGAGACGGACGGCTGCTGGAATAATCTAAATGGAGCAGCTTTGACTTTTTGCACAAAGTGAAATATTGAGTCATGCACCAAATGGACCGCCGCAGATATGACTGATTAGTGGGACATTGGGGGGTTGTCCTGTCAACTTTCTGCTCGATTCAAACAGAAAGTCACAAAAAGCATAAAGTGCATCAGCTGTGCTTCCTTTTTTTGCTGAGATTTAGGCGTCAAAGTCGACGTATCCGCATCAAAAGTTAGTCTCATTCCTGATTCATCATTCCACTGTCAGCCGCTGCTGTGGATTATTGCCTCGGTGTCTTTGCCACACTGAGATATAACCCTCGATGTGTTCAACTCTATCTGTGTAGTCTTAATAATAAATGATTGTGGTCCAACAATACATTTTCATTCGGGAAACAATTCCAGCTATAAGTGACCAGACAATATGCAGCCCAATGAAATGTGCTCTTACATATAAACAAAATAAACTTAGAATGCTGCAAGAAATGTTACTCTTGCTGGTTATATGGAATCAAATTCAATAGAGCTGCTAAGCGACTGTTTACAAATGACTTTAAGAAATGCAATATTTTATGTTGTTTGTTTACAGCTGGTCTTTCCTGGCGCTGTGTTCTAAAGGCCAGTTGAACTGTGTAACATTCCATATTATGGAGTCTTCTTCTCAAATGTACCTTGTCCCCTTTTTATCTGTAATATGGAAAGCTCTTCCAAAGTTGGATAATAAAGCTCATCTCTCTCAGTTGGTTGTTTTTATAAGTTATTTTTTTATTGGCTTAAAATCTCTGATAAAAGGCAGGGTTTTACTTCCACAGATAAGGGGGGAAATAATCCAGAGTTTATAAACAGGCCTTTCACTTAAAATGCATCTAGTGAAGCTCACATCTGGATGAAATCAGTCTAGCACTGTTAGTCAAAAGAAGGCAGCGTCAACAGCTCCAGGCTGCTGCCAGTTCAACAAACCAGATTAGCCACCTGACTTCCCTCCTTAGAAACAAGTGTCGGATTACACTGAATATATAGAAAACTTTGGAGCAATTTGTTTCGGATATATTTAAAAAACTAAAGTAGCAAAATACAAAATGACACATTTTACTAAATGACACACATTTTAAGGTAAGACTTTGCTGCAATTCCCTGTCTTCATTTGTAATGATCCAACAGTCCTAGAAAAAAAATGCATATACAAACGCATCTAAATAAAATAGAATATTGCTGAATTGTTACTTTATTTCAGTAATTGCTTTCTGAATGTGAAACTCAATAAATAGCTGTTACAGATGTTTATCAGCTGTTTTATTTGGATGATTTTGGTTTATAGTAAATAAAATCCTCAAATTAAATTCCTCAGAAATTCATGATATGGTGAGTTTATGATCGCTGATATCTTCCACGTGGAGAATAAGCCAAAGAATATATCATTAAAGGAGTTTGCTCTTCACACTGATACAAGCATCCATTTTGAAAGTTGAGTGGAAGGAAAAACTCTGTGGGGGGAGCTAAATCAACAGTTAACTACAGCCTTGACAGGCCAAAGATCTTGACAGGAGCTGAAGTCATTGCTGGAAGTTTATGATTATTTACGTTTGAAATCAAGGTCCCAAAGTTTGGAGGAGGAGCAGAGAGCCAAACAGTCCAAGCTCCCTATGATCCAGTGTTAATTTTCCAGAGAGTTTCACTATTCCAGTTGAATTACTGAAATAAATCAGCACTTTGGTTTCATTCTATTTTACGGTGATGCGCCAGTACTCTGCTGACCTCAGCACGCATGTATGTGTGCAGGAATGACTGTTCTCTCCAGACTTGGTTACAGGATGAAGGGCAGTATGGAGGAGCGGAGAGTTGGATAATCTCTAAACTCCTTTAAGTAGCTGCGATGTTTGCCTTTAGCCCACACGGTCATCTGGACGAAGGCCACGAAGGTGAAGAAAGCCACAGGCACACACTGGGTCATCACTGTGAAGCCAATCCAGGAGCCCAGCTGTGAGAAACAGGTTTACACACAGGTTCAGTACATAAACATTACCAGCAGGGGGCAGCAAAGGCACATCTCGTTTGCAAACATCAAAACGCATAAGAGCATTTTAGGATTTGGCATTAATCCCTTTGGTGTTAAAATACAAGAAATTCAATTATTTGAAGAAAAAAAAAGAATGAAAAAAGCTTGATGAGCAAAATTATTCTAAAACTGTTCTTCAAATCAATTATTCAACTTTATAAAGAAGTATATATACATATAGAAATATGTAGATCCTTACCTCATATGTGTAGTTTGGACAAGAGACTAGCCAAAAAATCCACGTAAAAGGATTTTTTGTTGGGTAAGGTATTTTCTTAACTTTTGAACCTGAAGTTGAAATAATGAAAAAACAAAAACAAAACTGATTAATTAAAGAAAAACAAAAGAAATAGAACATCACATTAATCATGAATATTGTAATTGCTTAAAAAAAAACCTCACCTTGTGATTTAAGGTTACGCAGCGCAATGTGGATTGAAAAATTCCCTACTTGGCAGAACTTTTGGAACAAAGGAATCCAAGGATAAGAAGAAAATTATGGCTCAGGTCATTTGTTTCACTTTTAAAAGATGGAAATTAATCTCAAACGTACCAGGAAAATGTAAAGCCCTGTGTTCACCTGCTGCAGGCCATAATCTGGAAATGTTTTAAAGAAAAAAAAAGAAAAAAACGACCAAAGATATCAACTCTGCTTGATGTGGAACAGCAAGTGTTGCATTAATCAGCTCTTACAGGGTGGGGTGTAGAGAGGATGGTTGATGTAATATGCCATCCAGGCTGCAGAGCACCAGTAATAGCCACAGTTCTGGAAGAGAAAGTCCAATTTATTTATGGAGCACATTTCATAGAAAGACTTTATAAAAAAATATATGCAGGGCATAAACCAAGAATAAAACAGAAATTACATTCAGATCAGCACACGAGTATAAATAAAAAGTTTAGGAAAACACATTTGCATATATCCGGTGATATGTACCCCAAATCTTTCTAAAAACTCAAACCACAGTCCGGCGCCTCATCTAGGGTTTTGATATGCATCCAAGTGGTCATTTTAAGAGAGCCTAAATAAGACATTTCAGGTAATAAATCATCTAAGAGAAGAGTCTCTGTTTTATCTTAATTTGACCTTAGAAAGTTCAAGAATTTGAGATTTGAGAATTTGAGAAGCAGAAATAAAAGCAGGGTCATTTGAGGAAAAAGGGTTCTGTTCTGTATAATGACCGGGTTGGGGAGGCGCATATCTAAGTTGGATGGGGAGGTTGAAGCTGGTGTGTCCTGTGCCGGATTCAGACTGTTTTTTTTAGAACAGACACTGATTTTTTAAATGTCTCTTACTGGAAAACTGTTTGATTTCCACATTTGTACAGGAAAAAAACATAAAAGAATAAAGAAATGATCAAATCGAAAATAAAAGTCTGGTAACAAGAAACTGAGTCACAAGCAAATAAATCAGTTTTACTCAAAATTGAATTGCTCTTGAGCAAAAAAGTCTAAACAGCTGCAAGTTCACCTTAAATATGTTTCTGAGAGGCATGGTCCCATGGGAGATGCGATGAACAAAAAGTGTCTCCAAAATCCTCTTGATGTAGTGGAAGGAGTGACACATACAGGCTAAGCTGCAGCAGAACACACACAAAACCACACATTTGCATATATAATCACAACATGGACAATTCAGTGATCCAGTCCTCTTCACCTGAGTCAACTGTTGTTTGTGCAAACCTTTTGATCCCAGAAGACAAAAAAGATAAGTAACTTACTGAACGACCCAGTGCTTGCTGGTAGTGAAGTCATATTTTGGTGAGTAAATGAAGGGAAGGCGGAAGTAGAACATTAGATAAAGGATCAGCGGACCAACACATTCTGCTAAAAACACCTGGAATGAAAAAAAGGGAAAATTGATGCATTCAAAATTATCCTTCTCTTCTAGTAGGGCTGGATATAAAATTTGAAAATGGGTTAGACAAAAACAGAGGTATCAAAAGTGTTCATGTTTATTACCCAAGTAGAAGTACAAATCCAACTGTTTAATACTTTTGTTAAAGTTAGATTATCAATTAAACGTTTACTGAAGTATAAGTACAAAAGTACATTTTTTAAAACTACTTAAAGTATAAAAGTAAAAGTAACACAGTAAAAATGTTAAGGACAGACACTTTACTGCACTACCCTATTAAAGGAACATTTTCTACAATTCTGGATGAAAACTTCCTTATACTTAATTTTCTTAGTTTTATAACTACCGGTAATAGCAACAGTGTAAATTTTAACTTTGCATCATCTTGAAAAGCTATTCATTTTGGTATGTTTCAAACAAGTTAGTGCATTACAACCACAAAGAAATTCATTGTCTGGATGAAACAAATAGTGAAAATGAGCTTAAATAAAACAAAACTATTGAGTCTATTTTAAAAATGTAAGGAGTAGAAGTAAAAAGTTGTCTCAAAAAGAAATACTCCAGTAAAGTATAGAAAGCCAACATTTATTACTTAATTAAGGTTACAAAGTATTTGTAGTTTTTTAGTTGACACCTCTAGACAGAAATATAAACAATTACTACTTAAATTTTCTGTTTAACAGGCAGTTAAACAAATATCAATATAAATCGTCAATTAATCTGCATTGCAGCTGTCAAAGCTTTTTCTAGGTAGGGATGTAATTTGGTAGGGAGGAACATGAGAGACAAACAGTTATTTCCTTCATGCTGTCATGGGTATCCCCTTTTGGGACTCAGAGTTTTTAGTTTTCAGTTAGTTTTGGTTTATTTTCCATTATATTTAAGCAGTCTTTAGTTACTCTCTGTTGCCCCCTTGTACTTATCTCCTTTCCCCTTGGCTTCCTTCTAGTTCAGGCATCCCCAAAGTCGATCCTTTGGGGGGCCACTGTCCTGCAGGTTTTAGAGGTTTCCCTGCTTTAGCACAGCTGATTATGATGAATGCAGTTGAGCAAAAGCCTGTTAATCAGCTTTCAATTAAAACCAGCTGTGCTGGAGCAGAGAAACCTCTAAAACCTGCAGGACAGCGGCCCTCGAGGACCGACTTTGGGGATGCCTGTTCTAGTCAGTTCCACTCACACCTGGTCCTTATTCAGCTCATTAGTCCATCCTTTGTTCTGTTCCCCTTATATACTCCACCTCTGTAGTCACTCATTGCTGGTTCCTTGTTTTTGTTTTGTTGTTCCTTCCTCTCTGGCTTCCAACGTGAGTTTTCTCCTGATGCTTTCTGGATTTTTTTTCTTAGTAGCTTGGATTTTTGATTGATTGCCTCTGTTTTTTCATTAAATCTACAAGATTCACCTCTGCCTCTTGGTCTCTGCATTTGGGTCCTCAACCAACCTCCATACAAATCGTGACACATCCAAAGAGATAAACATTTACTTTACTTTGCTGAAACAGCAACCATTTCTTTTGTCTGAGTCAATGAACAGTCGAGTGAGTAAAAGAGCAAAAAAGGAATAAGTATACGGAGCCCCTTTGCAAAAGCCCACTCTTAAGTATGGTTGAGGATCTATGATGCTGTGGGCCTTTTTCTCTTTCAAAGGCATTGGGAATATTTTTGGAATCCACAAAATCAAGACTGCTTTGGAAAAGCAAGAAATTTAAAATCCTTTGGAGACAACCAGTTTAATGAAAATGGGTACCTGTGAATCTTTTTAAAGTAAAAAGAACTCTGACCAGATCAACACA